GGTGCCGGAGGGTTCCTTGCTTCTTGGGTTGTCAAGCTTCTCCTCTCTAAAGACTACGCCGTCCACGGCACTGTCCGTCAGCCAGGTAAGTCTTCCTTTCTCCATTCAGTGCTGTTACATTCCTGGGAAGCAAAGGCCATCAGATATTGAACTGGCATAATGGGGTTTCTCTAGATCAGAGAATGGGCTGTGTATTTCTGTCTAATCTACCATAGTTAAAGGAATTCTGAAGGCTGCAACTTTGTGACATTAAATTATGATTTTGATTGGGTGTCTCAAATGACTTTCGATCCGCAGGAGATGAAAAGTATGCCCATTTGAATAAACTTGAGAAAGCATCTGAGAACCTCAAGCTCTTCAAGGCTGACTTACTGGATTATGATTCTCTTTATTCAGCCATTGAAGGCTGCAATGGTGTTTTCCATGTTGCCTCCCCTGTGCCATTCACCACTGTTTCAAATCCTGAGGCATGTCTATCTATTTGTATACCCTATTCTGTGAAATTAGCTTTGGTAATCTTACTTTCAATACATAAGATACATGTTTCACTTTGTCATGCTCATGTAACCTATATTAGGTGGAAGTGATTGAACCAGCTGTAAAGGGCACGCTTAATGTACTTAAAGCATGTCTTGAAGCGAAGATTAAGCGAGTTGTCTTTGTCTCCTCTGGAGCTGCAGTTGCATTGAATCCTAGATGGCCAAAGGATCAAATCAAGGATGAAACTTGTTGGTCTGATAAGGAATACTGCAAAACAACAAAGGTCAGTAACATCTGTTGATTTTTTTTTTATTTTCACAAATAAATGGAGAGAAAATCTGGAAGAAGATGAAGAACAGAACATAAACTAAAATGGAGAGGAGTATAACACTCCAACTCAAATTTTCTCATTAACAATCTCTGCTATATATAGCAGAAAACAAACCTTAAAACAATTTAGAAATTTTCATTTTTCATCTAAGCGACTTTTCTACATTAAAAAGTACATCTAAAACAAGTAAAAGACAACCACTTTTGCTGCATGCTTGCTGTGATTTTGCAGACCTTCATTTGCATTTGTGTTTCATTTTCTGTTCATTGCAGCTTCATTTCATCAACATTTGCAGCTTAGCTTGCTGCACATTTTTGCTTTCACTTGACAGCTTCATTTCCATCATATTTTCAGCTAAATTGCTGCCATATTTGCTGTCAAATTGCAGCTTCATTTGCTGTCAATTTTCAGCCTCATTGCTGCCATTTCATGGCAGTTTCATTTCATCATTTTGCAGGTTTGAATGCCACATTTCTAATAATATTTCCAACGACTTCCAGAGCCAAAAGGTTAATAGGGTTTATTACAACAATGTCTCCGTGTGATATACTTAATCTCTCATCTATGTGTTTGCACCAGAATTGGTATTGCTTTTCAAAAACGGAAGCAGAGAGTGAGGCTTTGGAGTTTGCCAAAAGCACTGGACTTGATGTTATAACTGTTTGTCCTACTCTTATTTTGGGGCCAATTCTACAGCCCACTATCAATGCAACCAGCAGGTTTCTCATCAAGATTTTGAAAGGTGCTTGCTTCTTTCAACATAAATTAGTATTTTTTTGGTCTTCCATAAAGTAGCTAGCTTTCTTTTGTTAATAATTTGTAGAATTGAAAGTTTTGTTAGCTCAGGACGCATATGGTGAACGTTTTTCCTTTGTAGCTTGAGCATGTTTTCCTTTGAATTAATGTTCAAGACTATGGTATTCTTGATTATAACTTGTGTTCTTTCGTGATGTGTCCATTCAGAGGGGTGTGCATCATTGGAAAACCGGAATCTTATGATCGTAGACATTCGAGATGTGGCTGATGCACTGATTCTGGCATACGAGAAGCCTGAGGCTGAAGGCAGATACATATGCACAGCTCACCAAATCAGATTACGTGATGTGGTTGATAAATTGCGTAGTCTGTATCCTAACTACCATTATCCTAAAAGGTAAACTCATTTTTGTTTGCACAATATTAATCTGAGTAGGATTAAATATACTCTTAGAATCACCATCCCAAGCACATAAATTTTGTTGCAGTTCTTTTAAGTTTCCTTGTGTATATTGACAGCTTCACTGTTGGAGAAGAAGGAATGCTGAGTTCAGAGAAGTTGCAGAAACTTGGTTGGCATTATCGACCCGTGGAAGAAACTCTTGTTGATTCCATTGAGAGCTATAAGAAATCTGGAATCTTGGATTAGATGGTCACCATAGGAAGAATGATTGCTCAGAGTCTTTTATTTGTCACATTTGAAGGGTATGATGGACAAAACAGAGTATAAACAGGATATTCTGTAATTTAAATAGAAGTACCTTAGTTGAAAACATATTTCCCTTGTTTCTTTTCTTTTTCTTTGATATATTATTCTTGCTTCTGAATGGATTAATTAATTATATCTGTTTTCTGCCAACAAACTCTCTTTCCTAGATTTTTTTTTTTTTTTTTTTTTTTTTTGAAAAAGCCTTCAATCATGGTTGTCTCTTTCAAAAAGTTATTATGTTTGTTAAAGAGTCTCTTTATTCAATACAGTCCGCTGCCAGGAAGGGTGCCTACTGTCCAGATTCTAGAAAAGTCAATAATCTAACAAGCCTCTATTGTATATTTGTATAATATTATGGAAATAAATAAGAGATGAAGATTGGACTTTAAGCTAACGACTGAAAATTGGGGAGAGTAGGAGCGAGAAACGATGGTAAAGGAAAGAGTATGTGTTACAGGTGCCGGAGGGTACCTCGGCTCTTGGGTAGTGAAGCTTCTTCTCAGCAGAGACTATGCCGTCCATGGCACTGTGAGACAGCCTGGTAACCTCCCTTGTCTCTTTATTCTTTTCTATTCACTGGTGTATTCCTCTGTGTTTGTGGTTTGCTAATCATCCAGTATTGTCGTGGGATACCTCTGTAAGTAAAGATTCTCTCTGTATTTCTACTTTTATTATGTTTGTAGCACCCTGTTTATCGTTCACTCTATATGATCTGTTTATCATTGACTTTGAGATCTTGAACAATTTCATTGCTTGGTTATTTCTAGAAGGATTATTCTAAAGGCTATATAACATAGGAATCTTGTTTACTAATTTACTTGAAGAGGTTTGCAGGGGATGAGAAGTATGCCCATCTGAATAAACTTGACAAAGCATCTGAGAACCTTAAACTCTTAAAGGCAGAACTACTGGATTATGAGTCTCTTTATTCAGCCATTGAAGGCTGCAGTGGTGTCTTCCATGTTGCCTCTCCTTTGCCCTTAACTGCTGGAGCAAATCCTGAGGCAAGTATATGTCCTTATTGTGGAATCAATTTTGTTAATCTCACTTAACTTGCATCAGGATCTATGCCCCTTTGATCACTTTGTTTGTGAGGTCTCACTTAGGAGATACCAAAAGAAAGGGTATAAAAAGAGAGTGAGAATTAGTTTGCTTGAAGTATATCAAGTGGCATCTAGCATCTAATCCTAAGGGTTTTAACTTTGACATGCATTTGATGCATAACATTTTGCTTAATTACTGTTAATGATCATCTCTATCTTGTCACATGCTCATGTTACTTGCATTAGGTGGAATTAGTTGAACCAGCTGTGAAGGGCACACTTAATGTGCTTAAAGCATGTGTTGAAGCAAAGGTGAAGCGAGTTGTTGTGGTGTCCTCTGTAGTTGCAGTTGCATTGAATCCAGGATGGCCAAAGG